GGTGCCGCCAGCACCAGACACTTTGCCATTGAGTTCTGTGCTCTGATTGCCCACCTTTCTTCAGCGGACCCGGTTGCAGGAAAATGGTTTTATTCTGGGGCTTGGGATGGGGAGGCAGGCCTGGGGCGGAGAAATGGCAAGAGTGGCTGGCGTTTGTTTCTCTCTGTGTCTCTGGAAACAAAACCCAAAGTCCCTTCCTACTGTCTGGTCAGGAGTTTGGATGTTTGGTTCAGACTGAGCGAGATTCTGGGAGCAAGATTTGAGAGCAGTTCTGCAAGGCCTGAAATCTGACCTGCCCACCTGTCAGGCAGACGCTGGGAGGCAGGCATTTTAGGTCAGGGAGACCCTACTACTTTTCCTAGGATCTGCCCCTCGCCTCAAAAAAGCCTGTTCCAGAGTGTGGTGCCCACCCTGGGGTACTGTCTCTTCCCAGCTGGGAATCAGATGTTTCATGCCCTCAGGGTCCTTTGGGGGTTCCCAACTTCCACCCAGCCCCCATCTTTGGATGCGTTAAAGAAGAGAAAAAAGGCTGCCGAGGGGCATCTACCCGGTTTGCTCGCTATGGCCTCCCTGATTACGTTTGGGGCTGGGGCCTCCGAGTACGCTTGGTCCTGCGGGTGGGGGCCGAGCCCACGAACTCGAACTGCTTCTGCCTGTCGGCATGGTTGGGGAAAGGCAGCTGGCCCTGGTAGAGGCGCTTGATGAAGTGGGCCTCTCGCTGGTTCTGGCGGCTTCGGGAGGCCTGGCGAGGCCGGCCCTGCCGAGTGAAAGCCATGAACCAGCCCTCATGCCGGGCGTTCTGGAAGGCTGTGTAGTTGTTCTCCAGTACGATCTCGGTGAACACGCAGTCTTTGCTCTTCCCACTAGGCTATGGAAGAAAGGAGCAGAGGAGGGGAATTTGTCCACTCACCCTGGCTGAGTTGTCTGCCTTTGGGTCTATTTTTTGTAGGACCCATGTGGGAGCAAGGAGTTATTGTGCCCAAGGAAGAGTCTGGTGAGATGGGCACCATTGCTAGAGAGGCAGTAGTGAGCAGTGCACACAGCCTGTGTTTGGAGTTAGGCGTAGATTTAAACCATTCAGCATTTATGTCCCTTGAAAGAAGCCTTGAGAAAGCACTGAATCTCAGTTTCCCCAAATGCCCCAAAGGAGGGTCAAGATCAGGGTAATATGTAATTCAGTGCTGGGGGGTGGGGGCGTGCACATGGCTCATGAGAATTCTATGCTGCCGGGGTGAAAGCTGTCACAGGGTGCAAAGAGGGATCAGAAAGAGCCGCTGGACACTTGACCCCACTTGCCTTGCCTTCTTACAGGTGAGAAGTAAGAGAATGCTTGGTGAGCACCAGTCAGAGCTACAGGTCCAGAGTGGGCAATTCGGAAGGAAGTGCAGTGCTCTGTGCCCACAGTGCTTTGGGGCTTTACCAGTAAGTGCATCTTGCTAGTCCCTGTCCATGGACCCCACTGGACCTGGGAGAACTACTGTACATGAATGCCCCAACTTGCAACCCTCACCACATTTTAGCCCTCCATATGAGCTGCCACACCAACACATCACATACAGTATCATGTAGTGGATAGGCTCTTCCTGATTGATGCTGGGGAAATACTTCCTTACGCCAGCACCAGGTAGGTTCCTTGTGGATCCTCTGTCACTTCAGCAGGCCAGGAGCCACAAGGATGCCTTAAATAGAGGCTGGGGGGAGGGGGGCTAGAGAGATGGCTCAGTGGTTAAAGTCATTGGGTGCTCTTCCAGAGGACCAGGGTTTTGATTCCCAGTACCCACATAGAGGCTAAAAAGTGTAACTCCACACCCTTCTGGATTCTGCAAGCATGTGATGTGTAGACATACATGCAGGCAAAACACCCATACACATAAGAGAAAAATAAATATTTTTAAAAATTAGTAGAGATCTGGAAAGATGGCTCAGTGGTTAAGAGCACTGGCTGTTCTAGCAGAGGACCTGGGTTCAGTTCCCAGCACCCACATGGCAGTCACAACCATCTATATCTCCAATTCCAGGGGATCTGATCCCTTCTTACCTCATAGGCACCAGGCACACATGTGGTACACAGGCGAACATGCAGATAAAACACTAGTACACATAAAATAAATAAATCTTTAGAAAACTAAAAAATTAAATAAAGATTGGGGTTTTGGAGTGGTTGTCATGATACTAAGACTTTAGCTGGGCGTCAGTGGCACACGCCTTTAATCCCAGCAGACAGAGGCAGGTGGCTCTCAGTGAGTTCAAGGTCAGCCTGGTCTACAGAGAGAGTTCCAGGACAGCTAGGACTGTTACGAAGAGAAGCACTGTCTGGGGGGGGGGGCAAATAAGACCTCATCCTGTAAAGCAGGACCCCAGATGGGCTAGGTCAAAGGCAGGAGTGAGGTACGTTTCTGTGGCCTTGTCTACACTTGCCCCAGTAGGGAAGACACAGCTGTCTGCCTGCTGCCCTGTGTCCCAGGTCTCACCTTCCCAATCAGCTTGCCCCTCTTGTTCATGCAGATATACTTCTCGCTCTCTGCCCCCTTGATGCGCACCCGGCTGCCGAATGTATCCGTCTCCACGATGAGCTTGGCTATGATGAGGGAAAGGAAGAAAGAGCTTTGTCTATTGGCTGCTGGCTCAGGGATGTGCAAGGGTCCCTCCCCCCCTCCCCGCAAGCAGTCTGCCCTTGCAGGACCAAGAGGCTTGCTTCCTCTACCCACCATACTCCAAGCCCCTTACCCCAGGAGCAGGGTACCCCAGGCTGGGCAGGGTACAAGTGGTCTGGGGCAAGGGCCACGTCTTACCAAACTTGTTGCCATCCTCAGCAGTGGCAGAGATGCGACGCCCGGTGACCTGCACATGCTTGCCACTGGTCCGGCTGTAGAGCTGGTACTCACGGATTTGCCGTCTGCTCAGCTGGTCAGTCATGGCACCCTGGTCCCTCACGTACTGGTTAAAATTAGGAGACGGGTGATTCTCCCCCTTTGCGGTTACCAAGGGAAAAATAGTGTCAATTTGCTTTGGGTGACACCACCATTGGTCCATCTGGGGAGAGGGGTAAGGAGGCAAGTGCTGTGGGGCTGGCTGTGTGCCCTGCAGTGTAGGGTACAAAGTGAAGACTGCCTATGTCCATGATCTTCCCAGCATGCCACGTGAACCAGTTGTGGCTTTTGGGGACTTGAAGCTGTCAGTCTTGGGAAACAGTGAGACAGCATACATCTGCAGTCATAACAGGTTGCTAGAAGAAACCTTCAAGGTTGTTGTGTCCTGTCCCCATGTTTTATAGAATTGGTACATATGGACATGTAACTCACAGACCAGAACTTCTTTCTCTTTCTTGGGGGTCTTGTTCAATTAGTTAATTAGTTAGGACTACCAGATGCCCCCCACCCCACCCCACTAGCCTTAAAAGGTCCCAGCCCCAGCACACCTGCACAGAAACAATGTGTTAAATACATGGACTTAACCACTGGAGGGCATTTGGGGGCCTCTTAGATTCTTATCCATAGTGTCCTAGAGGATCTTGAGGATTTCCAGAGAGAGAGAGAGAGAGAGAGAGAGAGAGAGAGAGAGAGAGAGACTTCCCTAGTGTAGGGAGGTAGAGGCGGCAGTAGAAGGTGGTACCAGTGGCTGCTCCTGGGGTAGTTACCTAGGTATTTAGTGGCCTGCCTCCTTAGCCGGTGAAAGGGGCCATTTCCACCATACATCAAGCCTGTCCAGTACCACATCTCCACACTGAGGTTTGCCTTATCCAGCCTTACCTGAGTGGGACAGAAATATTACTGCCCTGTCTCCTCCAAGGTGCTCTTTAGGGTGCCAGTTACCAGCTGCTTGTTATAGCCTCACCTCAGCATGCAACCCTTCCTGGTCCCTAATGCTCAATTCCAACTATAATTATCTCATGCCTGATCCAAGACAGATAGTACCATCCCAGCTCAGCATGTATTAGGGGCCGCTCTCTTAAATAGAGGGGTGGGGTATATCAAGGTGGTGGTGGTGAAAACCGTAACGCCAAGGCCAAGGTATAACCTGCTCAGAGTTGACCCCTTCCAATTCTTCTGTCATTTTCCATTCCTGGCTCCAGTTCCTAAAGGCCAAGAGATGCCAGAACTCTGGGAGAATAAGAACATCTTTGGGACCTACCATGTATCCCACCCTAGAGAAACTCGAGGCCAGCATCTGTGGTGGTGAATGCGTTGATTAACCCTCACAGGCCTCCCTGCCAGGGGTGGGTTCCTGTCTATCTCAGCCTTAGCCTTCTGGCCCAGGTTCAGGATGTCCGCCCCACTTGGCGGGCAGCCTTCTCTCCTGGCAGTCTCTTCCAGGTCAGGGGCAGATAGCAGCCCCCTAAACCCCCTCCTCTCCTTGTCCCCCTTCAAGTCTTTCACAAAAGTAGCCCACGCCCTCCCCCACCCCCCACAGCCCACAAGTCCCTCTCCCACAGGACCTTGCCTGTTCCTTTCATGTCCCCGCTGTGGGGGGACCTCCCCTTCCACCACGGTAGACAGCTGCTTGTCAGACAGCCCCTCAAGCATGGCTGTGGTTCAGCCTGTTGCCCCCCCTCCCAGGGGGGCGAGGGGGCACTTCAAGGGGAAAAGGACAGCCTTGCCACCTTCCCTCAGTCCTGAATGGGGCCTCAGCCAGGCCATAAACGCCCAGGCCAGCAGCACCATTGTGCTAATTCCCTTTCCAGAACAGGTTGGACCCACCCCCAGCCCCCTCCCTGCCAGGCTGGGGGCTTTCTTCTTACTCTCCCTAGATGTGTGAAGCAAAAGGCCTGGAACGGGGCTAGAGCAAAAGGGGGAAGGAAAAAGGGGGGTGTTGTCTCTCTCCCACCCCCCCACTGCTTCAAAGGCAGTCCCTTCCCACTCCAGAGAAAAGGCATTTACCTTAAAAAAAAAAAGTTCCCTAGTGGATGGGAAGAGAAACAGCCCTCTGGCCTGGGAAAGCCAGGCCATCTCTCCCCAGAGCGGTTCTGGACCAGTGCATTTTAATAGCTGCATTTTTATGGAGGATCACAAAAAAGGACTGTGCCTTGCCTGGGGCTGGGGGCTTGGGGGTGGGAGGTGTGTGTGTGGGTGTGGAGAGGTAAGCCCTGAATTCCATCCCAAACAAATCTTTAGTCTTGACCTAGGAACTCTATAGGTAATGGGTCTCCCTATCTGGTTGGATACTCCAACTGTGCCTGAGACTCTGGCCACCTAAGGTCCAAGCATGGTGGTGAAAGGACCAAACAAGTGGTTTTGAACCCAAATCCTTCAAGTACCTGCAGGCACAAACCTCACTTGAGCAATGGCCTCCACTGGCTTCTAACTGCCCCAGGGCTCTGTCTCTCAAGTCTAAACAACACACTGCCTTTAACCACCCAGAAGCCCATCACAAAGGGATGGAGACAGTGGAGATCCAGGAAAAGCCAGAAGGTTGGTTAGGAGGGCCCAAGAGGCAAGCCTCTGTCTATCAGCCATCCTGTTTCAGCCTGTTCACCAACCCACCTTCTAAAATGATCCTCGGAACCTTAGCACTTGCTGGGTTGGGGGAGGCCAGTCCTGCTTCCCCACTGAGGTGATGTGGGAAAGGTGTGTGTGTGTGTGTGTGTGTGTGTGTGTGTGTGTGTGTGAAGAGGGGGGCTAGGCAGGGGTGCCTACCTGCGTTTGACAGCAGAGAATCAATAGCTGCAAGCACCTGTTTGGGGAGACAAGACAGTTGCAGGTGTGGGCACCCCAAGGCACACCCGTCCCCCACCTTTGTCTTGCCCCACCTGCCCAATGGTAGTCCCAGGGAGGTATAATATGCCTGGGGCTGGAAATGGCAAAAGAACTCCAGTCGCAGGCAGCACACTTACAGAGTAAGGTTAGGCAGCAGGCGGGCGGCTCCCATCGCCGGAGAGACTTCTTGGGGCGGTTGCCCCTCTGCCCCCCAAACTCAGGAGCGGATGTGGGCAGGCCCCTGGGGTACAGTCCCAGAGAAACCAAGGTCTCTCGGAGCCACAGGTTTTCGGCAATGAAAGGAGACGGAGGGAAGGAGGAAGCTAGCCGAGGGGGATTGGAGGGGGGGACGTAATTGGGAGACTGAGGTGCGAGGTGTCCACCTTCCGGGCCAGTGAGGCTGCGAAGCCGGAGCTGGTCCGATTGGCGTACTGGCACCCTTGGGCTGCCAGCCTCGGGCGGGGGTCCCCAGGCGCAAAGGATGGAGCTGCGGGAGTGTCCTCTATCAGGAGGCTGGCCCCTGCGATCTCTTCTGATTTATTCCTGACCCGCACGGACCTGCCGGCCTCGGTGCAGTGCGGGGCGTGGGGCAGGCACAGGGAGGGAGGGAGGCGCCTTGCCCTCCCCCCTCTCAGGGTCAGCCGCTCCCGCCCTCAGGTTTGATGCCCCAACCTCATCTCCTTAAGAATGAGCCGCAGGTACTGAGCTGGGGCTGGGGTCTCTAGTTCTGGCTCGGGGTGGGAATTCCCAGAAGCAGCCTTAAAAGGAGGAGCCTCCCTCCAGGGAGCAGGGGTGGGCTTGGCTTGAGAGGCGGCTGGCTCGGCTTCTCTGCTGTCACCCCTTGCCATCAGGAAGGAGGGGTAAGGCTACAAATAGTGGGTGCAACAGGTTGGGACCAGAGGTGGGGAGTCAGGTGTAGCTAGGGGTCTTGGAAGGATCTCAACGATCACAAAAACTGGTCTGAGACAGTGACCCCCAAAAGAGTGGGAGTCACTTTTACCTGGGCCTCCGCAGTCTCCTATCAGAAAATGGGACAGCCATAGACTCATTGGAGGACCAAATGAGATGACAGCGAACCAGCGTGGAAAACCCTAAAACGTCTGGGCCTTATTCTGGGGTTGAGACCCAGCCTTAACCTTTCAGGCCCCATGCACTAGTGTCCCCTAGCAGTTGCCTGGTATGAAGTGCCGAGCAGTATGGGCATATAACCCCTAGTCCCACGTAGCTGGGTACCCAAGCCAGCTATTAACTGCAGTTGCTGATCGGAAACAGGCACACAGGGAGGTAATTTGCTTAGAATAAGCCAGCTGGTGATTGAAGGAGCCACATTTCCAGAACTAGGCTCTTTCTGTTCCCTGTACTTATAACCTCATCCCCCAGAGGTCTAGCCTGCCACAGGCTTTATTTTTCTTAGAGGACCCAGAGACCTTACTGGATCTCTCTCTCTCTCTCTCTCTCTCTGTCTCTCTCTCTCTCTCTCTCTCTCTCTCTCTCTCTCTCTCTCTCTCTCATCTCTTCTCTCATTACGCAGCATCAATTGGCCTGGAATTCACTGTGTAGACCAGTCTTGCCTCCAATTCACAGATACCCACCTGACTCCATCTCCCAAGTGCTGGGATTAAAGGTGTGCACCACCGAATTTGAAGGGTTTAACTGGATTGTAATGTGACAGACAGTGGAGGCTCTGAAAGCTGGTGACCAGTTCTCTCCTTACAGAAAGGTGGGCAGTGGCAAACTGGAAGGAGGAGTGATTTGGGGCGCACTTCGTGTCTGAATGAGGTCTGACTCCCTGGAGTTCACAGAGCTGCAAGGAGACGGATTTATTTTGCCGTTTAAAAAACTGGCTAGGAAGGTGACACTCTAGCTTCCCTCTCACCTCTTTGAGTTCCAGCAATCCACAAAGTGGTCTGCCATTCTGCTGCCCCCCACCCTCCCCAGCAAGCTAGCAAGTTAGATCCCTAACCAGGGGCTGGGCCAGCTCTAGATAGCAGAAACCTTTAGAGCTCCGCCTTCTCTTCTGCAGACTCAAAATGGCTCTGCAGGGGGCCTGAGAGTGAATTTGAAGAGGTGTTTGAGAAGGTGGGAATTACTAGGGATTTGGGATCAAATTTAAGCAAAGTTAGAACTGGGGGCTGGCTGGGGACATAGTTTAGTTGGTAGAAGGCTGGCCTCTCCCATCCATGAAGTTTTGGGTCCCTTCCTCAGCACCGCTTGAACTAGGTGTGTTCGAATGCCAGCACTCTCGAGGTTGAAAGCAACTGGGGGATCAGATCAAGGTCATCATTATCCTTGGCTACACAGCAAGTCTGAGGCTAGCCTTGGATATGAAACCGTATCTTAAAAAAAAAAAGTCAGAGCTGGGCAATGTGGTCATGATTTTAATCCCAGCATTCTGGAGGCAGAGGCAGGCAGATCTTTGAGTTTGAGGGCAGCCTGGTCTACAGAGCAAATTCCAGGCTAGCCAGGACTACACAGAGAAACCTTGTCTTAAAAAAAAGAAAGAAAGCCAAAACTAGAAGGTAAATGATACTCCATGTCTAACAGCAAGTTACTGTGTGGCTGGGCTAAGGGGCCAAAAGGCAAGGAACCAGTGCCCAGCATAGTACAGTGCAGCAACAGAGTTTGATGCTTTTAGAGGCAGCTCCAGCCTGCTCACCTCTCAGCCCCTGCTGGGCACACCTCTGCCCATCCTTTCCAACTTCCATATTCTTTTTTTTTCCCTAAGACAGGATTTCTCTGTGTAATAGCCCTGGCTATCCTGGAACTAGCTCTGTAGACCAGGCTGGCCTCAAACTCAAAGATCTGCCTGCCTCTGCCTCCCCAGTGCTAGGATTAAAGGTGTGTGCCACCACTGCCCGGCTAATAATTTATTTCTATTTTATGTGCATTGGTATTTTGCCTGCATGTACGTCTGTGAGAGAGTGTCAGATCTTGGAGTTTCAGACAGTTGTTAGGCACGGTGCCGGGAATTGAACTTGGGTTCTCTAGACGACCAGTCAGTGTTCTTAACCACTGAGCCATTTCTCCGGCCCCCACCTTCCACATTTTTGCCCCCATTGGAGACTCACTCCATTCTCTGCCTCTTCAGGGAAACTTGCCTTCTTTCTCTTGACAGACTCACAGGGCCTCATTCTCACACCCCCACTAGCTCCCAAGGTGGGCTCGCAGGTCAGAGGGCACAGATGCATGGAAGGAGACAGTTAGAGCCTTGGAATTCAATGGTGATGGTGCCAGTTGGAAGCAGGGACAGGCATGGGCCATGAATTCCTTGTGCTCTTGAGCTCATTTGCCAGGAGACAGTGGGAACTGCTCAAGGGTTCTGAGCCTGAGCACTGTTTCCTCTCACTGATGACAGGGCCTGTTGTCACTCACTGGCTAGCCCTTAGTGCAGCTAAGTCTCCATGGTAACAGATGCCAGAAGTGAAATTTGGTCCCGAGGCTCAGCCAAAGTCTGGTACCGGAGGGATATGGGGGTATCCTTGACATCTTGTCCCTTGTCATTTTGCATGCCTAGCTTTCAGGTTTGCTCTCTTACTGTCCTGGGGAGGCCGTAGCAGACCACAAGTGGGAGGCAGCATGGAGAGGGGGATAGGGACTGGGTTCTGGATCTGATCTCCACCCCGTGCTATGTGACTTGAAAAGTTCATTTCTCTGGCTCCAGGTTCTCTTTTAGGAAAAGGAAATGAATGTCAGTTGAGATGAAGGTCTTATGCTGCCAAGGAGGTGAAAGGGGTACAATGACCTTCCCTGTAGGTCAGCCTCAGTTTACCTAAACTTTGGCAGGCTTTCTCCCTTGATGGAGTGATCTGGGGGAGTGCAATGCGCACACGGGTATGTGTGTTAACATTTGTGTGTGGGGGGGCTTTGAGAGGTATGCTAGGCAGAGTGAGAGGTGGCCACCTCTCCACCCCTTAGTGCCAAGTCTAACACCCCCAGTTGGGGCTGTCTCACACCTGTGCCTTACAGCTCAGCTGCTGCAAGCACAGCCCATCCACAGGCCTGCCACTGGCTTCAGCCTAGCCACCCTTTTCCTATAGGAACATGTGGAGGGGGTGAAGACAAAGGGCACCCCTAGCAATGTGGCCTGATATCTGACACTACTGCTGGCCTACAAATCCAGTCAGGTGGTCATTGGTGTACCTGTTGGTCAGCCCCACGTGTGGATCTGGTGTATCTGTTAAGTGCCCTTCTATGTAGAGCCTTGCCTGGGGCTGCAGGAGGGAAGAAAGTCCCTGCCATGTCTGCGCGCAGCCATGGATAGGCTTCCCTCTCACAAAGGACTGCACTCTAGCTAGCCCCTGCCCTCAGCTTACAAGATTTCCTGCATACTGGCCGGAAATCCTCCCATCAGCAGAGTGGTCAAAAGCAAAGGTTCTGAGGCCAACCTCCTGCTCTGTAACTTGGGTGCAGACGGTTAACCTCTGCTTTGGTTTCTCATTTCAGAAGTGAAGCTAATGTCACCCACTTCGGTATGGTTGTGATGGTTAAAGGAGAAAGTCTGGGACAGCAGGTATAGCCTGAGCTTATATCAACTGCTGCCATGGCAGCCTTCCTTTTAGATGGGCACTTGGAGCTCCCTCCTGCCTCAGATCAGCTGAATCCAAAGGGAACAGTCTTGTTAGCTTCCTCCATCCCCTTCATGTCAGCTGCCTGACCCAGATGCCTCCTCAGTTCTCTTAATTCCCTGGTCTCCTTCCTTCAGAGCATCTTCCAGGAGCTGAAATCATGGTGCTGGCTTTGTGCTGCCACCAGGCTGCAGGAGCTGTGAATGGGGTTGAGGCGGGCAGCTAGCTTGGCTCTCCCATAGCTTTGACTAACACAAGAGAACCAGGTTGGTGGAACATCATCTGCACCAAGGGCCAAGGAGCTGAACAGGATTGAAGCAACCTCCTGGGACTCATACATGGGGGTCCTGGGCAGCTCTTTGCCAGCTTGTTTCTGACCTGGCCTATAGGGATGCTAGGGTGGGGCAGGAAGAGCCTCATACAGGTTTCTCCACAAGCACAGCCTCTGGGATTATCCTGTATCCCACTAAAATAAGGGATGTAGTCTCAGTGAATTGGTTCCAAGGCTACGTCAGCATGCTAACAAAGACAGAGAGCCAGAGCCATGCAGTAGTCACCCACTGATTTCCAACTGTCATCTGGTCTCACCCTGTAACAGGTCTGTGTCCTGTTTAGTGTCATATGGGCCTTAGTCTCAACTGTAGTAGCCTAGGTTGTCCCCCAGTGGTTGTCCCATTGGTGACAATTACCTGATAAGAGCAGAGAAATGGAGCAAAGTTTGGACCTGGGTCAGTTTGGACCTCTTCCTGGTAGCAAAAGCTGGGTCCTAGAATTCTGCACTTGTAAATTTTACCTGTTCCAGGTCACCTGACAGGGCTGAGGCCTTCACTCAAGCCTGGGTGGAAACCTACGAAGAGCAACATGGGGCCAGTTTCTTGCTCTCGGTTGCCCTCTGCTGGGCACAAGAGCTAGCGCAGTAACAAGGAGACCCAAGGCAAAGGCAAAGGGAAGCTCTAATAGTGCAAATTTTATTGTGGCTTATGCATGCTGTGGGGTTCTTCCCCAAGAGCCCCTTGAAATTGAAGGGCTGGGTTGTAGGGCTCCTGTGTGGCCTCCACACCTTATTTACATTTAGACTCAGGTGGAGGGGCTGGACACCTGAATCAGAGCACAGCTGGTAGACACCCTCCCTTGGACACAGGAGATACCAAGGTGAGCGCCTCATTTCTTGGATGCAGACTTCTTAGGTTTGGGTGTAGATTTCACCTGTGCAGATGAGGGAGACTGAAGAATAGCCCTCTCTCCTTCCTTCCCTCCCTGGTAGCCTTCCCCAGGGCCAGCACCAGGACCAGCTTCTCATTGCTCACCTTCTTCCAGGGATTCTTGTCCTGAGGGCTGGGCCTGGAAAGAAATAGGGACAGGGTGGGCAAGAGAGAGTGCAGCTTTAGGCCACAGCTGAGCCCTCCCAATAGCTGCGTGCAGGAACAGAGCTGGGGTAGTTCATCTAGACAGAGGGGTTGGCCCAGAGAGCTAAAAGTGCAGGCTCGTCTCTCTACCTGGTCACCTTTCTGCTGTTCTACCCACGTCCCTTGTGTTGATTTTGCAGTGCTAAGGATTGGACTTAAGTCTTTACGCATTCAAGGGAAACACTCCACCACTAAGCTATATTCCCAACCCACATTTGAGTCTTAATTCTTTGTGGTGTTGGGGAAGGAAACGGACTAGGTTTCTAGCATGCTAAGCAAGCCCTCTGCCACTGAGCTCAGCTTCGGCTTTGCTTATTCCCTTTTTGTTTGGTCTCTTTAAGAGTGTTTTCTTCTTAGACTTCTAATGATTTTCTTTCAGGTGTAAAAAAAAAATGTCTTTCACCTGGCAGTGGTAGTGCATGTCTTGCTTGTTTGTTTGTTGAGACATGCATGCATTTAATCCCAGCGCTTGGGAGGAGGCAGAGGCAGGCCTAGTCAACAGGGTGAGTTTCAGGACAGCCAGAGCTGCACAGACAGAAATGCTGTCTTAAAAAATAAAACAAAACAAAAAGTCTTTTTTTTCATAACAGGGGGGAGATGGTGATAAAAAGGGATGGCTGGGGAGCATGGGCTATAGGCTTAATAGACAATATATACTTAAAATACAGTTTTTGTTTGAGACGGGGTCTGCCATGTAGCCCTGGATGTTCTGGAACTCATTATGTAGAAGACCAGGCTGGCTTAGAACTCAAAAAGCCACCTGCCTCTGCTTCCTGAGTGCTGGGATTAAAGGTGTGTGTTACCATAATCAGTCTTTAAATGTTGCTTTTTCTTCCTTCCTTTCAGCGTGGACCAGGCCAATCAAGAATTTTTGGTTAGATAGGATCTTGGTACAGCTAAGAGGGTTGTTAACATGATTGCTTCGTTGATCTCTTGGGGTGAGGGGTACAGAAGTAATCTGTCCTCAGAGTTACAAACCGAAGAGATTACAGAACTCCCAGGGATTCTGAAACATGTCTGGGATGGCCATCACCTAAGTGGATTGTTTATGGTCATACTTGCTGCTCCACCATTGCTGGCTTTAATCCTGAAGACAAGTCTACTCTTGCTTTGGGACTTCTGTGGCTACATAGAGAGGGAAAGGGTCTTCACCTTTCAATTTTCTTAAAATTTGCCATCATTGTGTCCAATCTGCCATTTACCCCTTTAAACTGCTCCAATATTTTGTCTAGACAAACCTCAGGTATACTGTCCCTCAGTGCTGGCTGGTTAGGGACTTAGCATTCTCTCCAGTTGGGCAGAGGTTTGGAATGGATTAAGTGAGTTTCTGGTTAGCAGAGGGCTTCCTCTACAGCCTTGAGAACCTCAAGGCTTTGTCTCAGTGCATTCTCGGGTAGAGGAACTCTAGTCTTGGTGGCTTTCTCTCTGGTAGTCATTGTTCTGTACCGAGACTGGTGTTTTATTGCAGTTGGTCCTGATGACTAAGTTGTCCCTTAAGTACATTTTAAGAAGAGCTGATATAATACATTTTTTATTAAAAAATAACATTAGCCAGGCGGTGGTGGTTTACCCCTTTAATCCCAGCACTTGGGAGACAGAGGCAGGTAGATATGTGTGAGCTTGAGGCCAGCCTGGTCTACAGAGTGAGTTCCAGGACAGACTCCAAAGCTACAGAGAAACCCTGTCTCAAAAAAAAAAAAAAAAAAAAAAAAAAAAAAAAAAAAAAAAGAATAAGAATAAAGAAAACATTAACCTCATTGCACATAATTTAGCAGACATGAGAATAAATTACTTATGCTTTTCATTGCTTCCCAATGTTAATTTTTTGCATAACTTTAGCTAAGTTGTTTCTAAAATACAAGACATGAAATGAACATGAATCCACGCCCTATTCTTTTAATTCTATCCCTTTCTATGTTGTTAACATGCTTCCAAAGCCAACATATGTTCTATTTACCTTGCACCACAGAGAAGAAAAAAAATAATGAGGCACTGTTTGGTCAACTCTTACTGGCAGACATTTAGAAAGTCACTATTTCCAGTACTGTTGGGTAAAACCAGTGTGAGTTTGAGTGTAGATCTTGAAGTGGTTTTTTTTTTTTTTTTTTTTTTTTTTTGGGTAGGGATTACCTCAGTAGAGTCAGAAGGATTGTTCCTGCTTCTCAAGGGCCATGCCAACCTCCAGGGCTGCTGAATCTGCATGTGTGCATGTATATAGACACACTGTCTGTACCTGCTTCTCAGGACTAGCTCTCATAGAAGAGCTTTTGCTGTTTCATCTGGGCCCGGTATCCAGGCCTGGTATCCTAGTTCCTAGGGAGGTTGAAGCAGGCTGATCATACATCCATGGCCTGCCAGGGCTATACACTGAGTTTAAGGCCAGCCTGGGTAACTTACTGATACCCTGTCTCAAACAAAACAAGCCAAACACAAAGTTTGGGGCTGTAACTCAGTGGTACCCTGTTTAACATGCCAGAAGCCTTGGCTGAAATCGTTGGTGATGGCCATGGCCGGGAATTAACAGCATGAATTACCTTACAGCCTCCTCCTCCTCTTCTTTGTCTAGCCTTTTTTTCTGGGAACAAAAGCCAAATGTTATTTGGAGAGTTAACCCCAAGACCCAGACCCAGAAAACACTCTCGCGCACTGAGCAGTCCCAACTGAGACCTGCAGAACTTCAGGGGTGGTGGTCGTGGCCGGCCACAAATGCCCAACCTGGGAGGTCCAGCTCAGGCCCTGGTGCCCCACCCCATTCCTTTTCTCCAACCTTTGCCAAGTTCGCCTGCTTCTGGGGAGCCATCCTTTTGACTTGTTTGATGGGCGACTCTTCTATTGATATATCCACATCTTCCTCTTCGTCTTCCTCCTCCTCCTCATCCTCCTCTTCCTCTGCCTCCTCTTCCTCTTCCCAGGATGCGTCTGAAGTCTCTGTAACGGTATGGGAAGTAGACAGAATAGGGCAGGATGGGTAAAAACCAGAACATCTGAGCTAAAGGGCTAATGTCTAGCTCTTCCCCCACCAACCCTTTCGCTCTAAGTTTATCCCCAGGCAAGTACTGGGCTTGAGAGGGTTCACCTTCTACAGTGAGCCATATCCCTTCTGTCCCTTCCTCCAAAGTGGGGGCCAGGGTGAAGCGAGGGACAGGAAGTCTCTATGGAGCGTAGGGGAAGGAGGGCAGGCAGGCAGGCAGGCGGGTGTGTATTGAGAGTTGGCTGACACAGGGCTAGAGGATGGTGAGCAGGGGAGGGTGATGTAGAAGTTGGGGCTACAGTATGGTTTGACCCGCAAAGGTTCCTGTACTAGAAACTTGGTCCCCGGTGTGCCATGTTGACGTGGTGGAACCTGTTCAGAGGTGAGGTCTAATGTGAGGTAGTTTTTTTTTTTTTTTTTTTTTTTTTTTTTGAGACAGGCTCTGTGTAGCCCTGGCTGTCCTGGAACTGACTCTGTTGAACAGGCTGGTCTCGAACTCAGATCCACCTGTCTCTGCCTCCTAAGTTCTGGGATTAAAGGCATGTGCCACCATCACCAGGCTGTGAGGTAGATAGTAAAGGTGACAAGTGGCAAATTGCCTCTGTTGTGGCCCATGTTATCACTATAGCTTCATGCTTCTAGTAGACAATCCTTGAAATACTCCCAAATACTATAGTTAAGAGAACTTCTCTCTTTTTAAGAGAGGGTCTTGCTATGTAGCCCAGGCTGGCATTGAGCTGGGATCACAGGCTGTGCCACCATGCCTAGCTTGAGAGTCTTGGAAGATTCTCTGAAGTTGAAACAAGGACCACACAACTCTTATGATACACTTGAGGCTTGAGGCCCATTGATGACATGGAAAGGCAAGTGAAGAGTTAGGGCTACAGCCTTCTAGTTCAGGCCACTGGCAGCCATTTGCCTCTGAGAGATCTGTAGAAAAGAGTCAAGGATCTGTTGATGCTTCAGGGGTCTACAACACCTCAACTTACCATAGCATTCACGGCCACTGAGGAACACAGGTCCTGAGCCAGCCCGGAGCCGGAAAGTCACTGGAGGACAAAGCTTCACACCTGTCACTGTGACCTGTGGTGGGAAGGGACATCAGAGCAATGTAGAAGACACATGTAACTCAGTCTAGCCCCTGGTAGGGACTAGTCACACAATGCTGTCATCCCAGCATTGAGGAGGCAGAGGGAGGAGGATTTTAAATTCCAGCCAGTCTGGGTGACATAAGTGAGACCATCTCAAAACAAAACCTTAAATACACAAGTATCTCTCTTCCCAATGTGACCACACTGAATACATGTCTTTTCTGATTTTTTATTATTTATTTATTTATTTATTTATTTATTTATTTATTTATTTATTTTTTTAGTGAAAAAGGAAGTCAGTGTGGTGAACACCTGGATCCCAGCACTTTGGAGGAGGGACAGCCAGGAGGACCACAGAGTTTGAGGCCAGTTTGGGCCACAATAGATTTGGTCTCAAAGAACAATGAAACAAGAAACAAAAGGAAAGGAATGAAGCAAGATGACTCAGCTGGTGGAGTGGTTCAGTGAGCAAAGGCACTTGCTGAGCAAGTCTGGCAGCCAGAGTTCAATCCCTGAACTCACAGAAGGCTTGAGGAGAGAACCTACTCCACAAGGCTGTTCTGATGGCCATCTGAGTGCTGTGGCATGCATGTTCACCCTCACCCCTGCCCCTAGAGGAATCCTTAAGTAAAGAAAGATGTCAAGCTGGGCTCTGGAGACAGAGATCTGAGTTTGAGACTAGCCTGGTCTACAGATGGAGTTCCAGGAGTTCCAGGAGAGCCAGGGCTACACAGAGGAACCTTGTATCAAAAAACAAACAAACAAAAAAACCCCCAAAATAACCAAAATGTCAACATATTAAAGTGAATTGAGAGGTCATATGATCAAGTAAGGAACCCAAAAGGCTCAGACATTATTCTACCAACATAACATAGCATAACATAACGTTGACGGAATGATGGAGGAAGAACCTGGATCAGGGGAGTCAGGAGCATTTGAGGGGCTGGGCAAGAAGGGTTGGCTAATAAGAGCACCGGCTGTTCTTCAACAGGAGCCGAGTTGAAGTTCCAGTACCCACATGGTGTTTTAAAATCACCTACAACTCCAGGTTCAAGGCCCTCTTCTGGCCTCTGTGGGAAACAGGTACGAATGTGGTGTGCAGACATATTGTAGGTAAAACACTCATGCAAAATAAAAATAAGTAAAACTTTTTCTTTTTAAATAAGTAAAAATCTTTTTAAAAAAGCATCTGATAGAGCTGGGCAGTGGTAACACACACCTTTAATCCCAGCACTTGGGAGGCAGAGGCAGGCGGATCTCTTCGAGTTCGAGACTAGCCTGGTCTACAAGAGCTAGTTCCAGGACAGGTTCCAAAGCCACAGAGAAACCCTGTCTTGAGAAAAAAGTCCACCCCCCACCCCCCGCCAAAAGCATTTGACAACTCCCTATTCGTGAATAAAAATAAAAACTTTTTAGCCCATAGATGGGGGCTTCATTCATTTGGTGAAGGGCATCTGTCAATTATTTTATGGCTCTCCATCTTAAATTAAGAAAGAGGAATGATATCAACTGTTCACACTTATCGAATTACAGTTCCCAATTACCCTGCAGTTTTGACTTTCCAGTGAAGCAAAGGTTAAGCCTATTTAGTAGAAAACATACCTGAATTCTGAATTTTGATCTTTTCCTAGACCAGTGATATGTAATAAAATCCTGTGTAGTCAGGGTCATGGCAATGAGCACCCACTTTCTCAAAAGCAAATGAGTGATGCTTCTACAGCGTTGCCATAATACTAAACTAGGATGCTCCATGGGATAAGCATAGTAAAGGCATTTCCCAATTTTGATCTTTTCAACTTACAAACTCAGTTTTTTTTTTTTTTTTTCGAGACAGGGTTTCTCTGTGTAGCTTTGGAGCCTATCTTGGCACTCAATCTGGAGACCAGGCTGGCCTTGAACTCGCAGAGATCCACCTGCCTCTGCCTCCCGGGTGCTAGGATTAAAGGCGTGTGCCACCAACGCCGGGCACAAGCTCAGTTTTAAGTCAGGGAGTATTTGTAATTGTACCAAAAGTCCTAGTCCATGGAGCAATGCAGAGAGGTTATAGGAAAGGGAAAAGGGCCCTGTGTGGTGGCATACACCTATCATCCCAGCACCAGGGAGGAAGAGGCAGGAAAATTATAAGTTTGAGGTTATCCTGATACAATACCTTGTCTAAACAGACAAGGGCAAGCGAGATAGCTCAGCAGGTAAAAGCACTTGCTGCAGAAGCCTGGCAACCTGAGTTCAATTCCTGGAACCCACAACAGGCGAGACTTAACTCCTTGAAAGTTGTCTTCTGATCTCCACATGTGCCATGACACATGTGCCTGAACACACACGATCTCCCCACCTCTCAATGAATCTCAAGAAACCTCCAAACTACAAACCTATCCTTATACACAAACAATTAATTGTGAACAGTATGAGATATACTACCAGAAGGAAGAGAATTTCCAGACACATAATCCAAATAAAAGCTACTAACAATGTCTTGACGACCAGTAGCACATGGCTTAAATGTAACACTGTTTGAGAAGATATTTGGCTTGCTCTTGTTTGCAAGGCTCTGGGAAGCAGGAATTGGGATGGATTCTCACTGTGGTCAGGGTTATGCTGCCTTCCTAGCATGGCTATAAATTAGCCCAGGGCATGATGGCACCACATGTATGTCCAGGCCCACTGGAGGATGGCACTAGAGAAGTGATAGCTTCCCTGGGCCTGAAGGGAACTCACCATAGGCAGGACGGAGGCCTTCAGTGAGGCAATGGTGACTGGTGATTTTCTGTCCTCCTGGTTTGCTGGGGGCAGGATTTCTACACGATTCACCTCCTCTTTGGCTTTCTCCCCCAAGCAAATCTGACAAGGGTGATGGGAGAAAGCTGTTACCTAGTTTTCTTTTCTTTCTTTTTTTTTTTTTAAAGATTTTATTTATTTTTCATTATGTATTCAGTCTTCTGCCTGCATGCCAGCAGATTTCATTCAAGGTGGTTGTGAGCCACCATGTGGTTGCTGGGAATTGAACTCAGGACCTCTGGAAGAACAGTCAGTGCTCTTAACTGCTAAGCCATCTTTCCAGTCCCAGCTGTTACCTGTTGAGACCAGAGAAATCACTCCTGTTCCAGCCTTCCTCCCCTCCTTGGGAGATACCCACCGTGCTGAGCAACAGTTTACAGTTGTCCTTCTCTCCTTGGGGTCTAAAGGTGCAAATCTGTTTTTCCTGACTGAGCTCACCGCCTGTATAGGGAAGATGGCAGCGTGGGAGGCTCGTGGGTTCCTCCATGTTAGGGGTATAGTTCACCAGCAACCCCATCCCACCTTTGCAGGGCACAGCCTTACCCTTACCCCAGAGCATGATCTTTGTTGTGGTTTCTGTCCCACTGCTGGTGCTGTGGTGACTCATGGAACTTTTGCTGGGTGGTTTGGTGGAGGTGTTGGGGCACAGAAGTGAGTCTGTGGTAAGATAGGTCCTGGGTCCCTGCTTTGGAGCTCAGCTGTTCTCACTGTCTCGTTAGTAATACAGAAGCTAAGCTCACAGCCTCCTGTAAGGAAGGTTTCCTTGCAGCCTGGGGAATCCAATAGCCATTGAAAACTCCTAGAGGTCAAGTCATACCCCTCGCACCCCACCCCCATCTCAGGCAACTGACCAGAGCATCCCCAGACCGGAGACACAAACACTCAAAACAGCAATGGAGAAGATGGTGATTTTTGTGTAGCCCAAGTTGGGAAGCTTGCTGAGAGATCATCTGACAGCCCCTGGGGCCCTCTGGGAACCCCAGGGTGGAGAGGGAGGAGGCACCAGGTGTGAGTCCAGTGGGATCCAAGTCCCACCCATCCCCTGCTCAAGCTTACTGTGCTGCCAGTCATGGGCCTTACCTCCAACTGCAGGCCATTCGAGCTTCAGCTAAGGGCCAGCTTCCCACACCAGGGTGTTAAGAAGCCTGGGAAAGAGAAGGGGAGGCGGAATGGGAGGGTCCCAATTAGCCTTAAAGAAGTAGCCCTTCTTCCTCCTTCCTGCCCTCCTGCGCTGGAATCACCTGGTACTTCATTGTTGTTCATTGCCTCCTCTGTTTCCCATTGAGCAGGTCTAGGTGGGACCAAGAGAATTTGCACTACCTACCGGTTTCCAGGTGAAGCTGCTGCTGCTGGCCCAGAAGGAAGCCCCATGCGAGCCACTGTTCACACCCAGCTGGGACTTACTGAGGTTCCCAAAAGAGAAGGTGTCTTTGCTTCTTAGAGACTGTCATTGGATTCTACATGTGTGGCATTGCTGGGGTTCTTACGTTAAGCCATTCTAGAGGATGTATTTTATTTTGTTTTTCTTTCCCTCTAAGGAAATGCTCTCCCACTGAGCCTGTTGGTAGCATTTCATTGTAGTTTTTAATTTGAACTTCCTTAACGATAAGGGATGTTGAATATTGAACTGATTATTGGTTATGATCAAAGTGGCATTTTCTTCCTTCCTTTTTTTTTTTTTGAGACAGTCCTGGTCCTGGAACTCACTTTGTAGACCAGGCTGGCCTTGAGATCCACCTGCCTCTGCCTCTTAAGTGCTAGGATTAAAGGCATGTGCCACCACTGCTCAGTGGAGGTTCTTTATATATAATGGATATTTGTTTTGTGTCAAATGTACATATTCCAAAGTTTTTTTTCAGGTCAAATTATATATTCTTTCTCTCTCTCTTTCCCTCCCTCCCTTCCTTTTTGAGACAAGGTCTTGTTATGTGTAGTGAGGCTGTTCTTAAACTTAAGATTCTTTTGCCTTTCCCTCCCAAGTGTTAGGATTAGAGGTGGTCACCACCACACCTGATTCTAATTTTAGCTTTGACTCTTAGGTGTATGATGTATTTTGATTTAACTTTTCTGAGATGGTATTGCGATTGCTAAAGAAACTCCCTTTTATGCTAGGCATCCATTCTGGTACCCACTAGCTGTCTCTGACTCCAGTCTCAGTAACCCTGATTTAGTCACCCCCATGTAAAAATATACAACCTTGGCTGGGCCTCCTGGCACATGCTTGTAATCTTAGAACTTGGGAGGCAGAGGAGGGTGGATCTCTTGTGAGTTCGAGGCCAGCCTTGTCTACAGAGCCAGTTCCAGGACAGCCAGGGCTACACAGAGAAACCCTGTCTTGAAAAAAAAAAACACAAAACAATATGACTTTTTTTTGCTTCTGTAACCTGCTTTTGTAGGCCTTCAAGGACCATTCTGAGGTCACCTTGACTATATGACCCTGAGAACAGAACAGCTCTTGCCTTGATTGAGCAGATACTCAAGGTCTTCTCCTTTAAAAACCTTTCCCTCACTCCCCTTTCCCGAAGCAATCTCAATTAGTATTGAGAGTATTGTCCTGCTAGCATCTTTAATAAATTTAACTAATTATAGTCTGGATTGATTTCCCCAGGGGTCATGAACTCCATCTCATACTGCAAAGGATGGCCTTGAACTTGTGACCATCTGTCTTGGCCTCCTGAGTATCCCAGACTCCAGGCATGTGCTATCACATCAGTTTGAGCTCATTTTTATGTATGTAGTAGGAAGGGTTCAATGTTGATCCCTCACCTTCTGCCCCCTCCCCCAACCCCAAACACATAACCAGTTCCTCTAACACCAATTCTGAAAAATACTCCTTCCTCATACTGATCTTGGCATCTTTGTTGTCAAGTAATCATTCACATATGTCAGTCTCTTTCTGAACTGTCTTCTGTTTCATTGGTCTGCATGTCTACCCTAGCACTAGAGCCATATAGGCTGGAAAGTAGATCTTGAGATCAGGTAACATGAGTGCCCCAGTCAGTCTTTTTATTAATTTTTTTTTTTTTTAGGGCTGAGGCTATAATTGAGTGGTTGAGCACTTGGTTATTACGTGAAAGGCCCTGGGCTCCATCCTGAGCACCAAAAGAAAATATTTTAGGGGCTGGAGAGATGGCTCAGTCAGTGGTTAAGAGCACTTGTTGGTACTGCAAAAGACCCAAAGTGTAGTTCATAACTGTCTGTACCTCCAGTCCAGGGATCTGATGCCATCTTCTGACCTCCAAGACAAGTATGGATGTATGGGCAAAAAACGTTCATATACATAAAATATATCTAAAAAAAGACTTTTAACTATTTCAGATTCTTTGCATTTTCACAAGATACATAATCAGCATACTAGTTTCTACACAAAGGACTTTTGAAGTTTCTATTGAACAAAGTATATTCATGAAAATATCTTTATGTAGTTGGGTGAAGTGGAGCACACCTTTAATCACAACACTTAGAAGGCAGAGGCAGGCAGATCTCTGTGAGTTTGAGGCCAGTCTAGTTTAGAGAGTGAAAGTCCAGGACAGCCAGAGCTACATTAACAAGACCCTGACTCAAAACCAAAACAAAACTAGTCCTTATGCATCACTATACACAATGACTATACACCAATAAAAATGTTAAGTACTTATTGAGAAAATTTCAGATTTTATTGAATGCAGAGATCAATGGCAGGAGCTGGAGATATAATTCCATGATAAAGTGCTTGCCTAGCATGTGTGAAACCCTGTGTTATGTCTCTACAACAACAAACTACCAAAAAAACACACTATGATGAAGACAATGGACATCACTGTCTTTGGAGTCAGCCACTTATGAACACATTACAGTCTAATTTTCTTTGGCATTATTCTATAGCTTTTAGCACAGATCTAAAATTATATGTATTTCATGTTCTTGGATGCCATGGAAAATGGTATATATTTTAAAGTTTAATCTACTTTTTTTTTTAGTACATACAAATAACCTTTATTTCCCTCATCAGTGGTGGAGAACAAATTTAGGCAAATCCAGGTTTTGGGCAGGTTAAACAAGCATGTCACAAGACTGGCTTTTGTAGGGAAGAAAGGGAACTAGAGGTTACAGTTCCCTAGGTGATGTGAAGGGGACATGCAGAAGAGATGAGAACCAAGGATTGCACATTTGTATGAAGTACCATAGTGAAACCCATGTATGATAACCTGGAAATGAAAACCCATGAACAAACAATAGACTGTTATATGTTGGTCCTCTCTTCTGAGTTCCAGTGGCTTTTTTGTACTCTAAATCATGACATTGGGAATAAAGACAAAGTTCATTCTTTGAGATCTATGTGCCCTTTCTTTTTGAGCTGTATTCATTTGGTTAGGGCCTTTGGTAAAACATCCACTCTTCTTGAAAGAGGGTCTCACTATGTACCCCTGGCTAGCCTCGAACATGCTATGTAGATCAGGTTGGCCTCAAACTCAGAGACCCACCTCCCTCTGCTTCCTGAGTGCTGGGATTAAAGGTGTGCACTACCACATCTGGCCTGTCTCTTTCCTCCCCTTCTCCCTCTCTTTCTGTCCAAGACACAGATGATATATATATATATATATATTCATTCATTCATTCTCCAGACTGGTCTTGAAGTTTGAGCCTTCCTGTCTCAGCCTTCCAAGTGCTAGGACTGCAGGTCTATGCTACCCAGATAGCCTTTTGCTTTAAGGGGAAAGCTCTCATTTCCACCTTCAAGTATGTTGTTGGTAAGGTTTTTGTAGATTTTAAGGTTAAGAGTGTGTGTTAGGATTACACTCAGTACCACATACAAGGCCCTAGGTTTGTTCCCCAGTACCACCACTCACAAAAAAAATTTTCTATTCCTTCTTAGCCGAGTTATTTTTGAGATAAGATCTCACATATTCCAAGTTGGCCTTGAACTCACTATGAAGCTGGGGATGACCTCGAACTTCTGATCTTTCTGCCTCCATTTCCAATTGCTGGGATTAAAAGTATGTCACCACTTTAAATCTACTCTGTCTCTTTAAATGTCCTGTCTGCCAAGTCACAGCACCAATGTTATGATAAAGCTTGAGGGGGACCTTGGCGGATTCCATGTCAGGCGAGGGTGACCTAGGCAGAGGGACAAACATGACAGGCAGACAGAAAGGCGAGGGGGTGGGGAGATAAAAAAGAGACAGAGACAGAGAGGACAGAAGAGGGAGACAGGAAAAGTTGTCTGTCTGTCCCAGGGGAACAGTAGGAAAGAGAGCATAAGTGGGTGGAGGTCTTTCAAAAGGGTCCTTTGCCCCTGGGCTGACCAGGGCATTGCCTGAGTGCATTCTGCCAGGTGACAGAGGCTGGCCAGCATAATGCCTGGATCCTTAAAACCACTCTGTTGGGCTTTATGCTGTGCTAGGGACTGTACCCAGGGCTTCTTGCATGCTAGGCTAGCACTCTGCCAAATAAGCTATATCCCCACAGCATTTTCCCGCTTTTAAATTTAATATTATGAGTTTACACTTGTATCTACTAAAATGATCTCTAATTTTTCCTAAGTTTATATGGTGTTACATTTATGCTTTTAATAGAATATTTTAAAAAGTTTTATGTGTATGTAGGTTTTGTCTGTATGGCATATCTGAGAACCTGAGTGCTTGGTGCCCACAGAGGCCAGGAGAGGCAGTCAGATCCCCTGTAACTGGAGTTACAGATGGTTTTGAGCAACCATGTGGGTGCTGGGAGAGCAGCAACCGCTCTTAACTGCTGAACCATCACTCCAGTCTCTTATTCTTGAAAGTCAAATCAACCTTGCACTCTAGACTCAGCCACACTTAACTATGTTGTATTCCTTTTTATATATTGTTGATTTAGACACGTTTACATTTTAGTAAGAATGCATCTAAATTCATGAGCTATTAGTCTAAAAGCTTTAAATTAAAATATTTTATGTGTATGGGTATTTTGTAAGTCTCTGCGTGTAAGATGGCACAATGTACATGCCTCTGCTCAAGAAGGTCAAACGATGTTGAGTCCCTAAAATTAGAGATATGGACGGTTATGAGATGCCATGTGGGTGCTGAAGATTGAACCTGGGTCGTCTACAAGAGCACCCAGTGCCTTTTAACTACTGAATTGTTTCTCCAGCCCCCTAAATGTTCTTTTGCTTTATTCCTTAATGTCTTTGGGTTTTGTATTTGAAGTATATTTTCTTAGTAAAACCAAGTGTTCCTCCTCTTCCGAATTTATGTGTGACTGGTATTTATTTTGAAGAATTGTTTTTGACATCTCCAGGAGCGGGTTCTTCTCTCAGGTTCACCCAATGCACTGTCTTCTTTACAACCCGCTCCTTAGTCTTGCCCAGGGCTTCCTTTTTCCCAGTCAGGCACCGCTCCATTCTGCAACTAGGGAACCACAGGAAAACCAGTCAAATTCAGTTGGTCACAAGACAAAAGTTGTGTTGACCCGCCTCTCAATATTCCTCAACTTCCTTCTCACAGCCCTACCCTTGGTTCGCACTCTCTGTCCGTTAGACTGGTTGGTTAAGCAGACTGGCTACTGGGCTGCTTTGCTAAAGAAGCCGGCTTTTAGGATCAAAGCCCGACCTCTTGTAGGCCCATCCTTCACTCAGACACAAAGAAGCCTGCTCTATCGCTCTGGCCACATCATCTCTGCTATTCCTCCGAAGGTGTTTCACGCCTTTCTGTCGTGCCTTGGTCTGGGCTTCGCTGGGAGCTGTACTACACAGAGCACCCCTTTGCGTCTGCGACAGGCCTCCGCTGTTTCAGCACTCCTTTGGGACTGGGACTCAGCGACAATCGCTGCGGATACCTGGAAACCCGTGTGAGGACGCGATGTAAACAGACTCAAATTTCTGCAAGCACAGGGCCCAGAGAAAGGTCTTTCCGGAGTAGATTAGTCTTTTCTGTTACAGCCGGAAACCACCCGATGCTTAAGTCCTTACTGCGCGTGCGCGGAACAGGGGCGGGATCTAATCTGGGGATTCTGCATGGCCCAGATGCAACCCAGGCACAGCGTCTCCTTCTGACGCAAGGAGCGTGCGGAACCATTTCCGGGGCCGCTCTGCTCGGTGTCAGGTGCGGCTGGTCAAGCTGGGCTCTCCGCAGGGACTCGCCTCATTTCAGTGCCTCTTTCCACCCTCCGCCTACTGTCTTCAGCAAACGCATCTGCAGCCCATAAGCCACATCCTTGTCATCCATCACGATGTGACCTGATCCATTGGTCCTGGCTTGGAAGGAGCACATTTTGGTTGCTGGGACAGATAAGGGACAAGATTAGGATCATCTCAAACAAGCAGGTCCTAACACTTTAGGGATGGGGACAGAGGGGAGGAAGGACCTTTGGGTCTCTGGGCCTGCAGATTTTTGCAGACATAAAAGGCACGTGGAAGGGTGTGGCTGCGGAGACCGCTGTTGTAACTGTCTAGTTGATTGGAAGGGCTCTGCTGCAGTGTTTGCAGCCTGTCAATAAAGTTTGTAATTCACTATTTTTTTTGCGACTCATGCCTCAGACTCCATTTAAGAGGTGGTTAATTAGATGAAGTAATGGCTCGCTATACTCTTAAAAGTGTTTCCACCTCCACTCTCATTTTCAATCACTTTCCAGTTAAATTAGGCTTCTTTTTTTTTTTTTTTTAACTACTAACTGTTCCTGAGAGCTGGTGAGGGGCATCTATTTTCTTAAGACTATATTCTCACTCATATTATTAGTTACAGGGAGTACCTATTGTGTAAGTGGCTCTCCTAAGCCTTTTTCTTTTCTTTAGGTGGAGGTTCGTGGGGTGGGGAAAGGGCACCTAGCCTTGATCTAATTCTTTTACAGCTTCCTTACTGCTGGGATTACAGATGTGCACCACTAACTATGCCTGTTATCCATTTATTTAAAAAGTAACTACAAGCCGGGCGTTGGTGCCGCTCGCCTTTGATCCCAGCACTCGGAAGGCAGAGGCAGGCGGATCTCTGAGTTTGAGGCCAGCCTGGTCTACAGAGCAAGTGGCAGGACAGGCTCCAATGCTACACAAAGAAAACCTGTCTCTAAAAACAAAAACACAAACAAAAGTAACTACAGCTAGGGGTGTTTTCGCATGCCTTTAATCCCCAGCACTTGGGATGCAAACAGGACAGCCAGGACTGTTAAGCAGAAAAACCCTATCTGAAAAAACAAACTAAAAAACCAAAACAAAAATAGGGGCTGGAGAGATGGCTCGGCGATTAAGAGAACTGGCTCCCTTCCAGCTGGTTTCTCCCAGCACCCACATTACAGCTCACACCTGTCTGTAACTTAGTCCCAAGGAATCTGACAGCCTCACACCAATTCCCCAATTTTTTTTAACTCACATATAAAAAAATTACACACACACACACACACACACACACACACATATATGTGCAGAACCAGAAGTTGTTGGAGCCTACAGAACTGGAGTTACAGGCAGTAGTGAGCTGCCTGATGTAGATGCTGGAAGCTAACTCAGATCTTCAGGAAGAGAAATAACTACTGCTTGTGACCATGTCTTCAACATTGTCCCCCACTTTGTCCCCCCAAGACAGGATTTCAATTTGTAGCTGAGGCTGGTCTGGCATTCATGGCAATCCTCCTGCTTTTGTCTCAAGTGCTGTCATTACAGATATGAGCCACCATGTCAGACTCTTACTGTTTTGTATTCCATGAGCTTGTTCTCCAGACCCTGAATCCCAATGGTGGACTGGCATAATTTGTGGTTCAGTGGTATCGGTTAGATGATTTCTCTTCTGCTCAGATTGCACTCCTTTGTAACCCAGTGATGAGATGTTTTAGGTTATTAGGTGCTTCTGTGTGTTGAGTGCTTTATGAATCATCTTCACTTCAAAGTATAATTGTGGGGGCTGGAGAGATGGCTCAGCAGTTAGGAGCACTGGCTGATCTTCCATAAGTCCTGAGTTCGATTCCCAGCAACCGCATGGTGGCTCACAATCATCTATAGTGGGATCTGATGCTGTCTTCTGGCGTAAAGTCATACATGCAGATAGAGGACTCAAACAATAAATAAATATTAAATTTATTAAACTTTTAAAAAATAAATCTTTAAAAATCAGGGCTGGTACAAACTGAACCACTGGGCTACAGCCCACCCTGTTCACTTTTAAAGTCATTGTAAGAAGTGAAATAAATGTTTTGATCCCACTGACTTCTTTTCTGTAGCCCTGGCCAGCAGGTGCCAATGTCATGATGAATGAACAGATGACAAGGGTCAGGGTGTCCTGAGAACCATGAATTGCTGAGGAAGGAAAGTCATTTTCAAACTTGATTCTACCCTTCGCCCTGATGGTCTCAGCTCCATTGTCTGGTAGCTGCTTCCTCTAATGGACACTATTCCTGAAGTTTGAACACTGACTAGCCAGTGTTCAAAGTTTGGAAATCACTCGAGTATCACCAATTCAGAAGACAGCTGAAAGTAAGACACCCTCCCCCATAGGACATGATCTACCATTATGCTAATGTTTTATTACAGTTGGGGGATACACATTTTAATTCCTTCAAAT